TGGAATAAACTTAAAATTCTTTAATTGTTACAAACGGAGGACTTGAGGCCTGTTGCTGGTGGAGGAGTCTACGGGGGAGGGGGGTTGAATTTTCTTGAAGCGCAAACATGGCGATGCGACGAACTTTCCGCCCGCCGCAGTATGGATATAGGAAGGATATAATGGGGATGTTATAGGGTATACAGGGATAATAGGGTTATATAGGGCTTTGGGGTTTGGGAATTTAGGCTGTAGGGTTTAGTGTCGCGTGGGGCTTGCTGTTGAGAGCTAGGGGTTTTGACCTGTCAGGCTCATTTGAGGGGATGTAGGCTTTACGGTCGCTACTTCTGAGGGTCGGGGCTCATGGCTTACCACGTAGGTCCAGAAGGTTTATCTTCCCTACAGTACTCGGTACTCAGAAAGACTGCGGAAACCCATGCTGATAAGTCCGCATGATATCCCCAATCTACCCCTATATCATTCCCGTTACATCCGTAAAAGAATATACGATTACAAAATTCCTTTGCTCGCTTTAAATGCAGATCACCTTTCCTGGTTTTCATGGTAGGGTAGCTTGGATCATTTCCACTAAGTAGCCAACGAGCCGCTTAAGTCTCCGAGAAGAAAAGGTGCTGGTGATAGTAGGGGGCAAGCAGAGTTGAGGGTTTAAAAACATGGGTTATAGTCAGAACATGGGGTTCGTTCCAACAAAGGCCCCTGGAGTGGCTATGGCTTCAAGGGAAGTAGTAGTCCCGAGGGTACCAAGTAAGAGGAGTTTCCTCAGGAGGGGTTATGTTGAGCAACTCATGTGGGTGTGGTGATGTTTGGAATTTAGGCTGTTAGGGTGAGTCTTTTTCTGACATTTTGAGCTTAGGGCTTTGGGGGATACAGTATATATAGAGAGAGGACAGGGGTGCCAGTACACCAGGCACCCAGGCCATGTTCGTCTGGAATTTCTGGCCAAATTTGTGCGGCGGACAATTGGTTGTTTTGCTCGTGTGGGAAGCGGCGTCAAATTGGTGTAGCCCCAAGAGTGATGACGGCGATGATGATGGCGACGGCGATGATGATGATTATGACCATGACGATGATAATCACGATGGTGATCATGACGGTGATGGTGGTGATGCTGTTGCTGCTGCTGCTGCTGATGATGATGATGATGATGCTGATGATGATGGTGATGATGATGGTGATGATGATGATGATGATGATAATCGCGATGATGCTGTGCGTGTCAGTGTAAAGAGATCAAGTTGCAAAAGCCATCATTCGCAGAGGTAGCTGTTGAAATGTGCAAGCAGCCAGATGATGTCCAACACAAACACAACCGCATCCGCACACAACAAACCCTCACCGCACAATCCGTACAGATAGACGTAAAACCTACATCCGGCAAACCAAAAATCCCTGCGATTCCCCTTAGGCGCTGGCAGGCCCGATAAAAACATAAGTTATCACAACATAACATCCCATAGACCCTTACAATGGTTCAAATTCTTTTGCATAGCACCAGTATTTCGCAGCGCGATTACCTCGCACTTTACGCCTGAATTCTAATATTGTCAAACTTCCATGACATGTGTCATTTCCTTTTCCATGCAATTCTTCATAGTGAGGGGCAATATTCCTAAACCCTCCATGGGCATATACGGTAATTCCCCATAATGGGGCGGACCCCAATCTAGACCCCAAAAGTCTAAAATCCATGTTATGGGGACCCCAGAAGGTACCCCTAACATTGGGAATCCTCCATATATATATATATATTGTCTTCCCTAAGCGTTTAACCCTAAACCCTCAACCCTTATGTAACCCTAAATCCCAAGCCCTAAGCCCTAAACCCCAAAACCCTTAAACCCAAACCCCAAACCCTGAACTCTAAACCGCCAGCCCCCCCAAAACCCTAAACCCTAAACCCTACACCTAGCTGAAAGGTGCTTGCTGCGGGAGCCTGCAGGGGTGAGACTGCCTCGGGCCTCGCTGTTCCTGCCCGCGAGGTGACATGTAGCTTATAGGGTTTATGTGAATTAGGGTTTAGGGTTCAGGGTTTTGGGGGTTTTGGATTTAGGATCCAGGGTTTGGGGGTTTAGGGTTTAAGTTTTAGAGTTTAGGGTTTGGTGGTTTGGAGTTGAAAGTTAGGGTTTAGGAATCAGGGTTGGGGCGTGTTTATGTGTTAGGATTGAGGATTTCGAGTTTAGGGCGTCAGATAGGGTTTATGGTTTAGGGTTTGGGTTTAGGGGTAGTACCTCGATAAGAGTCATCAAATGGAAAAGAAACGGAGATGATCCTATACGATGATTTGTAGGGATTTTGTTCTGCGAAGTAGCGAGTTTCTCGAAATACTCCTTGTATCACCCTGAATTGCTCCTACCTACTTCCAAGGCCCCTTTGGGCGCGCCATTTTGAGAAACTCCCACCGTGGCTGTTGGTTTACTTGCTGGTGGTAAGTCGGGCATGAAGGAATGGAAAAGCAATGAAAGCCGCTACATTACTTGGGGTGTAGGGTGTAGGGTTTGGCATTTCTGGTCTACTTGCTGGTTGATAGTAGGGAGCGGAAAATCAAATTGCGAAACAAAAGGATAATAACATGGAAGCTCCATAAGCAGGTCCACCCAAGCCTGGCTTTGTCAGCAGCGAAGGCGATGAAACCAAGACTGACACAACAAGCTCAAGCAGGCATCCTCTGTGAAGCCACAAGGCGTCTGACCGAGTTTCTTCATGAACACCTACACCGTAGACCTTAAACCGACCAATACCCAGAATCTACCAAAAAAACCCTGCCCCCTCTCCTTCCCCCCCGCAGTCCCGACTTCTCAATCCTCATTCCACAGACCTTAGTTCCCAGCAGCTGACACAGTTGTGAGACAGTTGAACCATAGGGTTGACATGGGCCTTCTTAAGGGTCCACCCGAAGCCTTACCCTTCAACGGCACTCAATATTCGCAATATGGGCCCCAGTAGCTTGGCTTGGAGTTTGGGAGGTTCCTTTGGGCCCTTAAGCCTTGCAACGCTACACTCACTTGGGGTGCCATGTTTGCCCTACGATTGAAGCCCGCAGGGCTGTTGCGTAGCTTTCTGGACGCGGCGCCTGGGCACTTGATTCCTTGCGGGGCTCTCCAGGCGTAGGTGCCCAGGAAGAGGCAGTCTGGGTTTAGCTTTGGGGTTCAGGTTCTTGGAACACGGTTTAGGGACGAGTTAGGGATTAGCAGTTCAGCACGAGGGTTCGGGGCCAGCTATATCTCCTTCTCCCATCCGCCAGGGCATTGCCCGCCATTGGACTCAGCGACCCGCATGGAGGAGACCCTAAACCTAAACTATGGTAATTTACGGTTTAGGGTTGTTTAGGGTTTAGGGTTTCGAGTGGTGCAGGATTTGTTCCATGAAGAGTCTCAAAAGAGCCCCTACATAATCCCTCATTAACAACCCCCATAAAACTCCTTTCAAAGCCCTGCATATCCCTAGGGTCGCCTAGGGCCTGCCATTTAGATAAACGCCCACAGTTACCTATGTGTAAGGGGTTATGTTGGGGTTATATGGGGGTTACATTGGGATAATGGAAAATAAAACGGAAACTATTATTTAGGGTTTAGGGTTTAGCCCAGGAAGCCTTCCAGCGGCCTTGTAGACGGATCCTCCTGGCACGGCGGCGCCGCCGTGCGTGGAGCTGGCAGAGGGAAGTGGACGCTGCAGCCACTGGGGTGCAGAAGCGGTAGTGTAGCAGCTGGAAGGGTCTAGGCTTCAGGGACGTTATTCCCTCATAAATAATCCTTCTATATATCACTGCAGTATGCTACACCTGGTACACCCGATAATCCTCCTATGATGAAAACAGGCCCCCACATGAATGAGGGTTAATACGGGAAAATGCTGCCCGTAAGAATCTTGAACATCAGGAAATATTGCAGCTCCCGCACTTTTGTGGGCATTTCTTTGGGTATGAAGCCCTAAAGGTCCAAGGGCCCAAATGACAGGGTGTTGGGGCCCAGATACCATTAATATTGTAGTATTTGGGCCCTAAAACCCTATTATTTGGGTCCTTGGACCCTTAGGGATGGCTTTTGCAAGCTTCGGGAATCGTAAAATTATGATTCCCTTTTCCTAGACCCTCCATGTACCCTCTATAAACCCTGAATACCCACAATTAGGGTCCATATGGGGATTGGTCTAAATTCCCTATAATACGGGGTCCTATATTTGGGTTCCCATTATAATACGGGGCCCTATGTAAATTTCCCCCCATTTTGGGAACAGTAATATAGGGAAACTACCATATACCCCTATTTAAGGGTACAAGGAGGGTCCTGGCTGGTGTCCCTTTAACTTTATTCAGGGGAGGTCAGGGATATTGAACGGCCATGAACAAGGGTTTAGGGTACAGGGGTTTAGGGGTTTAGGGATTTAGGGTTTAAGGGTCTAGGGTTTAGGGTTGAGGGTTGGTTAATGTGACTGTGCAGCAACGATGCATAGAAATTTTGGGTAATTATGTACGGCTTAGCATTTAGGGGTCATGCGCCCGGTCCCTCAGATGGAGCCGAGGAAATTTCGAGAAGCTCCCCAACATCGAGAATGCTGCGCTGAGGCGGGTAGCACGCGGTTAAGGATTAGGGTTTAGGGTGTAGGGTTTCAGAGATGCTAGGTAAGGAGCTAGATAGTCAGTTTGTTGCACATGCCGCACTAAGGGTCCTATGATAAGGATGCGTCCACATGAGCTACGGTCTGAACTCTCAGCATCCCCCTTAATAAACCTCATAATGCACCCTGTGGAATATGCTAGATAATCCCCTTCAAGGAGTTTAGACCCTTCTAACCCTAAGCCGTGACCCTCTTTGAGGAGATTAGACTATAGCCAGCATGTTGTGGGAGCAGCTGCTACACCCTAAACCCTAAACCTTGCATTCTTCCAGGCAGTTTGGGTTGGATGCTGTTGCTGGTGTTGAGAGAAATATGGGGTCTTACAGCTCCAGGGTTTAGGTTTCAGGGTTCAGGGTTTAGGGCTACTGGGCTATGCAACTATAGGGTATATAGAACCCAGTTCCCATTATTTGGGTAATTGGGAGCCCTGATGGGCGGGGGGGATTGTACAGGGATTATATATGGGGGGTTATGGAAAACAACATGGAAACGACTAGTTAGTGTTTAGGGTTGGGGTTTAGGGGTGGTACCCCCCCAATCATAAAGGAACCAGAGGGAACAGAAAATGGAAATTGACATGGCAATTGCGCTTATATAGCAGTTTGGAGACAAACGATGGCAGAAAGAAGTTGATGCAAAAGTAGCGCAGTCAAAATGATGACAGTAAGAATACCCGTGAAGCATGAAGCGCTACAAAATACTAACAACGTAGCAGCCCATACAGGCTTCAAGTTTGCAAGCGTTACTTAAATTGGCTTCTAAACTCTACGAGCAGTACTGACTTGGATCCTTGGTGAGTGATCTACGCTGCTGTCGATAGAGGAAATCCTGCACTCATTAGGGACCCGTAATCCGTGTTATTTCCAGAAGTCATGGATCCCGGCTGCATCTGCCGTACTACCTGGACCCCAAAATAGGTCCAATAATTGGCCTAACCCTAAAACCTAAACTCTACATACTTTTGGGGTTCAGGTAGAGCTCCAGGAGTCCTAAACCTAGAAACCTCCCAACCTTGGGTTTAGACCCCAGGGTTTAGGGTTTAGGATTTTGCGGTTAGGGTTTAGGGTGGCCGAAAATCTACCAAAATCCTTCTTGTAGCAAGATCCTTCATTCATGGAGAATCACATATAAAAAATGGAAAATGACATGGAAGATGGGATTACATAGGGACTTAGGTACCAAGACCATCCTGCTACCCTTGAGTGGGGATATATGGTCCCCAATGGTGGGTACTTAGGCCTCAATGGGTTTAGGGTTTAGGGTTTAGGTTAGAAGGTAGGTGGAACATCTAGGTAAGGACCTGGATGTTTTTGAGCAAAGTAAATGATACCAACAGATCAGTGACAAAGCCCTATCTTTTAATAGGTGCACGGGTTCCTCTAGGTAAGCGCAGGCTTTCGCTCGGGGCCACGGCTGCTTGCGCTTGCCCAGCACGTCTGCGGGCGTCCGTTTCGCCAGGGTCACAGCAGCCCTAGTTTTGGTTTAGGAGGGCTTAAGGGTTTTGGGGTTGAAGGATCCGGGCAGTGAATGCTGAAGTGCTCAGGCTGGGTAGTAGGACTTCACGGGAAGTACATGATGAGTCTTGGTAGTTGGCCCCCTATGGCGCGGCCCCGAATTTCTGAGTTTAGGAACTACCAGGACCCTCCTTGTAGCCTTAAATAGGGTTATTGCTATCTTAACCCTAATGATGGGTATTCAGGGTATAATCGACATCTAACCCCTACATAACCCTAAACGTAGCAGTTTCCGTTTCATTTCCCATCTTCTTTTCCATTTGGTTCTCCGCTTTTAAGGGGGATACTAGGGTAGAAGGAGGGTCGGTCTGGATTGGGATCATTTTATCGTAGTAACTCGGTAGTAGGGCTAGATATCAGCCTGGGTTTGGGAGCTTAACGCTTCTTTTTAAGGGCAGTGCCACAACACAATGATGCATATCTAAGAAATCTGTAGCATAAGGGTTTAGGGTGTAAAATTTAGGGTTTAGACCAGGTTGATGCCACCAATGGAGATCAAAAGACCTTTCGCTCTCCCTCTCCCTCCTCCCTCTCCCTCCCTCCCTGCTCCCTTTCCTCCCTGCCTGCCTGCCTCCCATTTTCTGGAGACCTTGTATGACCTTGAAGCCGAATGGCTACGATGGGGTACGGATTTGGCTTTCGTTGTAATTGTGTACTTCATGGAATAATGTAAACCCCTAATGAATAAACCCCCTCCCCGTAGTAGGGACTATAATAGGGATCCTAGTTGATGAAACACGGGTCTACATTATGAAGCTTGTACCTCAAGAAGACCTACCTGGTCCAATATAGCCCCAACATAATACACTTCCATATAACCCTATAATATGGGAGTTTCCATTTTCTTTTCCATTATCCCAATATAGCCCGAACATAATATACCCCCATATAACCCTACAATATAGGAGTTTCCATTTTCTTTTCCATTATCCCAATATAACTCCAATATACTATAGTAGTTTCCATTACACTGCTAGGGGTAAGGTTTGAGGTGCCGCACTTGGCTTGTTTTACTTGTTTTTTACCTATCAGTGCCTGAAGTCCCAACTGTTAGTACATAAACGGTCGCATGGCAAGCCCATAGCCCAAGGAGCAAACAGAAGCCCTAATCTTAGAGCTGTAGGACTCTTTACTTGGCGTGGACAACCTGGGGTGTGCCTAATGGGTGGGATCTAAAGCAGGAGCAACTGAGGTTTCCTAGCTGTTGGATGTCACTTAATTCAGTCTTAGCAACCCCTGCAGAAGAGTGGAACCTGGATCCGTTTCAAGACGGGTAACGGCCTGTTAGCATACAACCCATCGCCCATGCCTTTTTAAAAGGGACAGCAGATAACAGCGGTTTGTGCAGAGCCCTCTGGGGCTGCATGTTCCGTTGAGGGAGTGTCAGTCCTTCAATCATGTCCAGGTCGAAGGCGAACCCGTGACGCCGCCCATTGGGCCAAAGGGCTCGGGACGCGGCGCTGCTACTGCCCAGCTGCAGCCAAAACGTGCTTGGTAGAGATGTTGCCGGTAGCATCTGGGGACTTAAATTCAATAGTGCTGGTGCAACTCCGTAGAGGTTGAGACTGTGGCTTCTCTACTGTGTTTGGTAGGGTTAATGGACAGAACTTTGAGATCAACGAGTAACTAGGGCACTTTCGTGGCCTCATTTCCAGCAAAGTAAAGCGGGGACAGAGCGATGCACCTTGGTGGAGAACATGGCAGTCGCTTTGTTCAGGGTTTAGCTGAAGCTGCATGGAACATAGTGACTACCTAGAGCTGCCTTCATACCTTTTTATAGCCCTACGGATCATGCCCCCAAACTGGCCTGTCTAGGTTACCCCTGAGTACGCATATGGTTCCAACCTTATCTGAAAGCAGTTGCCAATTCCAACTGTTTCCGGTGAACCTTCAAGTGGCATTGAAGCGTTGATGAGAGCCTGGGCTCCTGCCAAATTCTGGGCAGGACTTGATCGACGAAGAAGAGTATGCTTTGATCAAGAACCTCAAGGACCAGTAAGGGTTTGGGGCTTAATTTCTGTGTATGGTTTTGGTCCAAACACGAGAATGGCGGGTACACTGAAAGACCCCAAGGACATGCAGGGATTGTCTTGTGAGTTGAAAGGTAGAGGGAGGTACTTCTCTGACTCTAGGAAACTTGTTTGTGAAGGGCTGATTACCCTAAACCCTAGGGATAGATGCGACTTACCTCTATGGGCCTGTTACCCCTCAGGATCCTCCTTGACAGTCACGCAGCTCCTAAACAGTATTTGCATGTAAACCTAGTGAGACCTCAAAGGCTATGGCGGAGCACGGTTCAGTTTCTATATTACCCTAAGGGTACATGTGCCCTATGTTTGATTACTTAAAGCTTTGATACTAGCAATTATAGTACAGGACCTGGGTAAGTATATGATTATTGAATACTTGGAGCCTTAGGGTTATACTTAGCTGAGAATTATGATTACGGCTTATATGCGGCCATGGCTGAGTTGCGTAGGCAGTTCTACGGGCCGGTGACTCCTGAGGTCTGTTTATGACTCATTGGGGGGATTGGGGTTCAGGCCCCTGGCTTGATAAACTGCTGTTTTGTGGGACTCTGTAGGGTTTGGGGTTAATGTTGGGGTCCTGATTAGTGTAGGGCCACCCCCTCCCAAACAGAATGGGTTCCCTAATGGAGGGAGGGGGGAGGGTACCCCCCAGACAATCCATGGTTTTTAGGTTTCAGTTAAAATTCAAGAGGAGGGATCAGCCAAATCTGGCTTAAATAGGAGAGCTCAGGATCGGCTTAGAATTATGTTTTTGGCCGCGCAACTTCGCACAATTAAGGGACCCCAAACGAACAGGGGGCGGTGCTGAATAATTTCGGCGAAACTTCGCAAAATTCAGGAACCCACAGTAATCGGGATCCAACATTATGCTTGGAAGCACTCATTCATTTGACAGTGCTCGGGCATTTGGGCCGAGGGCTCGTGCTGCAAAGTGTATTGGGGAATCACACTGACACAGCTTAGGCTCTTGGACATGTGGCTGTCTTTTGGTTGCCAATATGGCTAAGGGTTTCCTATGTAACCCTCATAGCATCTACTTGTAATGTGATAATCCCAAAAAGCCCTATCCTACTTGTTAGGCTGCAACAGTACATGTTGAGGGTGCGGGCTTCAGCAGGATGTTGGACGTGGCATCGAGAAAAAAGGTTCTGTAAAAGAGCTAGAGCCTAAACTCCTAGTATCCCCCTTAATAACCCCTATAGTAGTCCCCTATATGACCCCCTATATAATACCACTTGAAGGAGTTTAGACTATAGCTCATATGGTCGTTTCCCAAAATGAGGGGACCCCAATATAGACCCCACAATATTATAGTCCTTATTATGGGGACCCCCAAAAAGGTAACCCTAATTTTGGGAAACCCCCATATGTGGTGGAGAGGTGCATGTTCTTGGAGGGCTGTGAAAGGAGATTGCGGCCCTACATCCCAAAGCCCCAAGGTAGCCGGATGCGTTGTCGTTTAGGGTTTAGGGTTCCTTGGTGGCGCCCTCCGCAGCTAGCTCAACTAACTGACGTATCCTCATACTTTCCCTAAGGGTCCATGTACCCGATATTTAGGTACTTGGGATGTTGGTAATAGTAATTATAGTATAGGTTTTGGGTAAGTATATGATTATTGGGTACTTGGACCCTCATACTTTCATTCAGCTCCAAATTGAGCTTTGGTGCCTTTTCCCAGCTGCCAGCTTTGGCAAACACTTCCAACTAGGACAGATGACAGAACAAACATGTGATGATACTGCTCTGCAGAAAACGTGTAGCAGCGTGATGTGCTCAACAAAGTCGAGGGCATGCTGAATTTCCTGGCCACCGGCCCACAAGATCTGCAGTCCTCAACACCTTAGCTCTAGACCTGCAGCTGCTCTTGGACGGCCCTGCTGTCGCCACCAGAATCAGCACGGCCCCATGTCACGACTGATTCATCGGCACGGATGACTGCAAAAGCTCCGGCAGAGGCTTGAATCTGCTGGACATTCTGCAGCTGATCTTGCACGGCGCGGCTGTCGCCACCAGAGTTAGCACGGCCCCATGTCACGACAGATCCATCGGCAAGTATGGCTGCAAAAGCGAAAAATGTGGCTTGAATCTGCTGGACATTCTTCAGCTGATCTTGCACAGCGCGGCTGTCGCCACCAGAGTCAGCACAGCCCCATGTCACAACGGATCCATTTCCTATGATGGCTGCAAAAGCACGCGAACTGGCCTGAATGTGCTTGACAGTCCGCAGCTGATCTTGCACTGCGCGACTGTCGCCAGCAGCAGGATGACCCCAGGTCACCACTGATCCATCTGCAAGGATGGCTGCAAAAGCTCGCCAGCTGGCTTCAATCTGCTGCACACTCCTCAGCTGTTCTTGCACGGCACTGCTGTCGCCACCGCAGTCATCATCACCCCAGGTCACAACGGATCCATCCGGAAGGATGGCTGCAAAAGCTGCGCGAGAGGCTTGAATCTGCTGGACATTCTGCAGCTGATCTTGCACAACACGGCTGTCACCACCAGAGTCAGCACGACCCCATGTCACAACGGATCCATCGGCAAGTATGGCTGCAAAAGCTCCGACAGAGGCTTGAATCTGCTGGACATTCTTCAGCTGATCTTGCACAGCGCGGCTGTCGCCACCAGAGTCAGCACAGCCCCATGTCACAACGGATCCATCGCCTATGATGGCTGCAAAAGCACGCGAACTGGCCTGAATGTGCTTGACAGTCCGCAGCTGATCTTGCACTGCGCGACTGTCGCCACCAGCAGCAGGATGCCCCCAAGTCACCACTGATCCATCTGCAAGGATGGCTGCGAAAGCCTGAAACGTTGCTTGAATTTGCTGGACATTCTGCAGCTGATCTTGCACAGCACGACTGTCGCCACCACTGTCAGCACGGCCCCAAGTCACGACGGATCCATCGGCTAGGATGGCTGCAAAGGCTCTGCCTGAAGAGGCTTGAATCTGCTTGACATTCTGCAGCTTATCTTGCACAGCGCGACTGTCGGTACCACATCCGTTGTGGCCCCAGGCAGCAATGGATGCATCGCCGAGCACAGCAGCAAATGCAGCCTCACCAAACCCTCCCGCAGCCTGTATCGCAACTGGCCGGATCTTCAGGAAGGTTAGGGAGTCATTATTCCGCAACTCACAATCTCTGATGGTTTTTGCTTCATCCAGCACTGACCCGTTGGAGTGGACAAGTCTACCCTTGCCAGTGGACAGAGCCCTTTGCGCTCGATGCTTGAACACGGCTATATTAACATCCAGATCAGTTTCAAATGAAACCGTGTTTCCACTCAGCAGGCTCACATTGAGTGCAATGGACGTGGTGAACGGCTGGGGCTCCATACTGACTGCTTTCAGACAAGCCCTAAGAACAATAGAAATAAGACGTTGGCTGGACGGTTAACAATCTTATTGCAGGCCACTTGGGCCTTGTGTTGCGGTATTGTGTGGGATCATTTAAAAAAGCCCGACCAGCGGGAAACACCCCAAACGCCTTTCGCTTGGCCTAGAAAATCTCTCCAATCCAAAGCCCCGCGCGCGGAACCAACAATCGATGAGACTCAAGCACTGAACCGCAAACCCTGAACCCTAAAACCCCACACCCTGCAACCAAAGATTGCCGAATCCTACAACCGCCGCTTGGCATCCTCTGAACCATCCCTACTTGGAGCTCTTTCACGCGGTTTAGGGTCTAGGGTTGACGGCTTAAGTGACTACTTACTATCTCCAAAAAACCCTGTTAGCCTTGTAACCTGCATTCTCCAATACTAAGTAGGCTTACTAAGTCAAGAGAGCCTTTGAGAACAAGGGGGCTTCTCACGAAACTGGGGACCTTACAAGCCCGGGCAAGATGGACGACCTGTAAAGCGAATATGGGCGGGAACCATAAGATTCTTGGGAGTGACGTGGTAAGAAAACCTACAGAACTGACCCTCTGCAACCTCCAAACCCCATAAATCTTCACCCCTAAATCCGAATCCCTGCATCCTAATCTTTAATCCCCTTTCAAAACCTAAATCCCCATCGACCCTAGTCCCCCACCCTTTTTCCTAAACCCCAATCCCTATAGACCTCAATCCCAAAAAACTTGGGAATTCGCCAGTTCGGAACGATTTTCTATACAAACTGCCATAAAAAAGAAGGTTTGGTGAGGTCGTAAAAATTGCTCATACCCCTCATCTTACAATCCCTATAACTTTGCTATAGCAACCCGGCTTCCATTTCAACTTTCCCTTTCCTTAACATTTCATTCAATTCTTCCAAATTGCCCAAAATGTTCCTCATCCCTAGACCCATAAACCCAAAACCCTACACCCCAGACCCTAAACTCCAAACCCCAAACTCTAAACCCTAATCCCCAAATTCCGAACTCCAAACCCTACACCGACATCCACAAACCCCAAACCCTACAGGCCCTAAACCTTAAA